TTTTTAAATTATTTTTTTATCTTTTTTAATTTTATCTTCATTTGTATATTTTTATTGTTAATTTTTTTATTTTTTTGATTATCTATCAATTAATTTTTGTTTATTTTTGTATATACATATACATATTTTTGCGACATTGTATGAGGGCGCATTCCCTTATATTGATTGGAGAAAATCATCTGTTGAGAAACAACAGAAAGGAGAACACCTGAAACAGTGTAAAAGTGTCCTCTCCGATTTGCAGCACAGCATCTGCCTGACCTCATGTCTGAGTTCTACGACCAAAATTACACAGGGATTGATACCTCACATGACACTATATGCGCATTTTAAAAAACCGAAATCCCAGAGGCCTGATTATGGCCGCCATTTTGAAATTTAGGCATTTTGGGGGGTGTTCCGGGGTCGGACCGTGGTAAACTTCTGGTATGTTGTTCAGGAGGACCTACTGATAACGTTTACACAGGAAAAGTTTGTTGAGCAATTTGTTCCGGGTCAAATCGTGTTTCTCCCTGACTAATAATTTTTAACAACGTTGTCACAATATATCTAAGAAATATTTATTGAAACGTTTTTTAATAATGTTCCAGAAACATTTCTAAAAACGTTTTGAAAATATTGTCTAAAATATAATGTCAGGCAAAATTGCTGAAACATTGCTTAAACGTTGCTGCTTTACCTTACAAAGCAATATCATCAAAAATGTTGCCTTGCAACGTTGCGGCAACGTACACATTGCTCCCTTGCCGGGCGGGTTAATCCTTTTTAAATTTGTCTCACGGAGATTTGCGTTCAATTGGCGCTTGCGGTACTTTGGCTGGTAAGTGACGATTTATTGATCAAGGTTGCTTAATAGGCATCGAGGTGCCTTAATTATTGGCTGTCTCTGGCATAAATAAAAATGATTATGCCCTATTTATACAGAAAGACTTGTTCTCTTGTTAAAATGAAATGTTTGTGAGTAAAATGTAGCAGTGACAACTTAAAACTGGCATAAATGCTCTCGTATCCTTACTTTTTTACAGCTGATTCATTGGTGAATCTCAAAACTTAAGAAGGTATGAAAATCCTCTGAGTCGTGTCTCCAATTTTATGAGCAGGAGGATTTGTAGAAATAGTGAGCATAATTGTTGCAGGATAAGTTTTGGAAGGTATTTTTTTTTGTCAATCAAGATTTTATTAGTGATTTTTATTTACGTTTCTTTTCCTGTTATTTTCTTCCAGCACACATTAGTAAGAACAAGAAAGCAAATGGGCCACCTCCCCTCTATTCAATTGAATATAGTAGACGTCAAGATACCACAGATGAATACAGTGGAGATAGTCCCACAGAAGGTAAGCTTGTCTAGTAAGCTCTGCTGTCGCACGTTTGAACATTGGGTTTAATTCCTTGTATGATAACTCCTTATTCTCAATTATAATTATATTTTAAAGGAGTCACGTATTAACGGCTAAATGCAGAAAGTGTAAATCTCAATTACATTGTTTCAATATCTCTGTAAATATTTTATTTTCTCCGAGGAAAACTAATAAATATTTTTAAACAAGTAAAGAAAATTTCCAGAAGATTTCAATCACAGTGTCTGAAAAGTTGCAATCAAATAATTGCCACAGTCAAAACTCTATTTTATCTTTCCCAAGATGCAATTACAGTTTGGGCACAAGAAAAAAGGAAAAGACGCCGGAAGTTTTTAATTTTTTCTATGAGTGTCAGTTGATATTTCTAAAACTACTTTATTTTACAGATGGAGAAGGTGATAATAGAGCGGATAATCATGGTAGCAGGCCCATGACTCCCCGTAGAGTGAAAAGGAGGAGTGTGCATTCCCGAGGCTCAATGCCATATCACTCGGGTACGTTGCCACGACCTCCCCATCTGCGTAGGCAACATGATAGAACTAGGTCCTCTCGCCGACATCGCCCTCACCATCAAAATCCAGTCACGCGACTGATAGACCATCACCAACAGTTGAATCATGGTGAGCATCTCTTCTAATTGCCCTTAATTTTCAAGGTAATGTGTCAAAAGAACTCGGATGATGTTCTCTTTTGTTCTGAAAAGGGAAAATTGCAGGATTGATATTTCCAAGACTGAGAGAAGGGAAAACGATGGTAAGAGACCAGAGATTCTAGGCACAGGGAGTTATCGGAGTTGGAAATTGATTCCTTTTTTACCATCTGAATAATTTTAAATGAGAGAGGATAGATTTCACTCTTAAGATGTTTGGTGAAGCATTGTAGGCGTTTGCTGCAGGATGTTTCCAGTTACTCTGAACAAAATGCTGCTGTTTTTTCTCCCATCCTACGCAACATTTTTTACAGGTGCAGTGCATTTAATGAAACGGAGGAAAATTAGTTACCAAAACTTCAAAGATGCACTTGTCATGATTTTTCTGAAAATAATGTTTTCCAATCATTTTGAAAATGATCAAAATTTTATCTTTTCCTGTCAAATTCATTCAATCCAATTTTTTCTTTATTTTATAAGATACATTGTTCTATCCTTTCTGAAGGATCAGATCTGACAAATTAGTATTATTGATTCTGATAAAAGTTCCAGAAGACATTTTATCTAACACCATCCATTGTTAATAAGCCATCATGTATTTCCTACTAGCCATTTTAAAAATTTGCCCTTTGATTTTTATACTACTCTTAATCAGCTTTCAGTTAATATCTGAATTCTATAAAACAAAAAGTTTGATCAGTATTATTTTTTGGAAGAATGAAACTGCCTTTTAAGCCTCCGAGTAGAACACTGTTTTTCCAACGCACATTAGTGATGTCACTTATACTGCCAAGTTCCAGCAATGATAAGGATTCAGATCTCTGCATAAGAATGCAGAGATTGCCTTCTTTACCTCGATAGTTTTGTATATTGAACATTCATTTTTGATTTCCGATCATTTTTTTGCTGGTCAAAATTTTATCCATAGAAAAATAATTGATCAGAAAAATGACCATAGCTGATATTCTCTGTTAGATCTCTCAATTGCTCTGATCTATGCAATGTTAAATTTTATCATCATTCCAATGCTAATAATTTTTCTTTACCTATTTTCAGTTTTGAATGATTCCTCAACTTCTAATGAATCTGGAAGACAGTTGATGAACAATCCAGGTTTCGATCCTCGTTACACATCATCTCAGTCAGAGCTGCTGCTGTCATCAGAGAGGTTAGATGTTGCGTCCAGAGGTCACACTAACCCAATTTATCCTGTAGAAAGGCCTCCATCGGCCCGCTCAAGTTATTCTAACTATCATGGCACACGTCCGTTCTCCTATTCTGGTCAAGCAACTGGCCAAGTCCCAGTCGCAAACTCATATCGAAGGTCCTATATGCAAGGTATGCAAGGAGGTCCTCCAGCATATCACTTACATGGTGCTGTTGATTCAGAGACTGTCATATAGCAATCATAGAGAAGCTTCGTGCCCATAAGTTTAATTTCTTGTGATCTTTTTTGTGTAAACATGATAATTAAATTCACTGCCCTTTGCAGCCCTTTCTAAGAAGTATGACAGATAGTGTTACCAGCTGTCATTAATTTAAATATTAAAATTGGCATCAGGGTTTTTTTAAATTTTGATCACGTCATCCCTGCAGGAAATTCAGGAAATTGTAAAAGTGCCATCTTTCATTTATTTATTTAGTTTTAGAAATCAGTATGCTTTGATTTCACCATGATGCACTGAATTTTTGTACTGCTGCTCAAAAAATTAATTTGATGCAACGAAATCATGATCATGTTGCATCCATTTTTGAAATCCTTAAAAATATTCTTCTTTGAAAGGGTTCCAAATCTCTCTTCTATGACTTCTACCATTCCAAAAGCTTAGATGCCAGGTTGTGAATTTTTGTAGTAGAATTATTGACTCTGCATTGTCGTATTTTTGTTCTTTCATGTTATTCATTCATTTAATTTTGCCCCTTCCCCTCAATTTAGTGGATTGTTAAGAGGTACTTAATGTCTGGTTACTAATGAGAAACTGGTTTTTTGAGTTTCTAATCTGTGCTTCTCTTAGTTAAGTCTCCTTTTAAATTCTATCCACAATATTCTACAATTTTTTGACTTCTGTCTTCAAAATGGTTTCTTTGTTTTTTCCTTTCCTTCTGTTTTGTCCCAGAATAATCAATTTTATCTGATGTCTTTGAGTGTTATAATAATATCTCTTCTCCGTGTACAAACTGGAGGCTGTAATTGTTGACTGTTGGCGATCTTTGAAGATAACCAATCTGTTTGGGATGCATCATAGATCAGACCTTGAAATTTCCAAGGAATTTTGTGCATAATTGCCCGAGAAATTAAATAATTGGTGTCGGTTTGAGAGCCCCTGTTTGTGCGTGGAGAAGAGCCTTGTGGCTTTTCGGAGATGTTTCATTTTGCCAACTTAATTTTTTTTTCATTCAGAAGACAAACAGAGAACGTGCAAAAAATTTTACAGGAAAATTTTTATTGAACAACAATTATGAGACAAACAGTTTTGCATGAAAGGCGTGAATTTTAAGACTTAATTGAATGTTTTTATTGGGATGCTTTGATTTTTACAAAATCATCTTCGTGTTTTCTATTTTATTGCTCCCATGCATATTAATTCTGTCTACTTGTTCTTTAACTAATTTTCTCTTTCATGAAAATGTTATGAATGTATTATAAGAGCATTCTTTTTACTACGTACTATTCAGTTTTATTCTGAGAATCAAATTTTAGTGTTACTTTTTAAGTATTCATTTCAAAAAGACCCACAAGTGATCTTGTAGAAAAATTTATAAGTCTCTACTTCTCTGTGGACAAACAAGTAACGTCTGCGACTATTTATTCTTGGGTTATTATTTTGTAATTATTGTATGTTTGTATGTACATATATAATTCTGTGAAAAGTTTTCTTGCCAGAGTTCTGAAATGCTTTGGCTGTGCAATTTTTTTGGCAATCTATGAACATCTGTGCAATCATTTATTTTAATGCAGTTTACTGTTTTCCACACGCTTGTGTATATTCTTTTAGGATTTTCAATAATTAATGAATTCAATGTTAATAGTACAGCCAAACCTCATTTTTGCGGCAATTTGTGGTGCACTAAGAACATTGAAAAAAACCAGTAAAAACTTATCTTAGGATAATAAAAAAATCTTTGAAATGACTGTTGAATCTCCGCTGAATAACTAAGCACCAGATAACCAAGCCATGGATAACTGAGCACCAGATAACGGAGGTTCGACTGTACTATTTATACTAACTGAGTAAATTATTAAACCAGAGAAGATGTCCAATAAATCATCCAACATTCTCTCTTATCACTGCAATATTGTCTTTAATGGTTGCTATTGTCCTTCCCATTGTTGAATTTTTGTTAACTATCGGTGATGTACGGGGAAATCCTTGATGATTTCTCCAATATGCACCCTCATATTTTTCTTTAAAATGCATCCAAGTTAGTTTTTGCACTTGCAATGACTCATAGTATTTATTACTTTTAAGATGTGACCGCAGATGCTCTAATTAGAAGTTTCATGAAAAAATAAGGTGAAAAGTTGTTGAAAATGGTCACTACTTTGATGGTGTAACTCTCATCGAACATGTTCAACCACAGTATTGTTCATTTCAGGAATGTCATCAGCAGATTTTTTTACTTTTCTGCAATATCATCCTGAAAATTTTTATATCATGCACTAACTCTTTTGAAATACTTTTATACAAACACATTTAATTTTTTTGTATTCGAATTGCTAGCTAATTCTAGATGTGTTTGAGTTTCTTCAGCACACATATGTTATTTATCTATTTCCCTCTTTATGTTTCATGTGATTCCCGAATGTTCCTTCATTAGTAAAAATATCAAACAATCCTGTTAATTTTTTTTAGTTATAGTTTTTAAGTGTGTAAGGTTTTATCAATCATACGCTGAAAATGTTATCCCTTCCCTGGGTCGTAAACTAAATGAAGTAGGATGTAGACATAGTACAGGGCTAAAACTTTGTCCCCAAGCACTGTTTTAAGAAAAAACTTGTTTATCTTTTTCATACCCCCCTTAAATAAAAATTGAATACTTCCAAAAACAGGACAAAACAGGGGTGAATTTGTAATGACGGTGATTTATTTTGTAATAAGCAAACTCCAGTATTCAATGCACCAAGAAAACTTCTACTGTTCTCTGAGACGTTTTATACACTCAAATTATTCTCTAGTGTTTAGATTAGAAATATATATTATATTCACAAATATGTAAGCAATTTTGAAAAATGTTGATCAAAATGCAATGGACCATTAAACAAGGTGCAGTATAATATGTCTTCTGGTGAAAATTTCACTTGGAACTTGATTTGTATGACAAACATTACTGCAAGTAACTTGTAATAAAATATATTCACGTTTTTCGATGCATAAATTCAAACTTCTGGCTCATAAAAAGCCTATAATCTACTTGACTTAAATCGCACACTGAACGTTACTGAAACAATCTCTGTGATATCAATGTATGCCCAATCTCACTTTCTGTGCTTCGGTGTAGCTGCTATACGTTGATTACATTTCAAAGAAGACAGGGTGGGGAAGGAATCATGCTTGTTGAGCAGCCTGCCAAATCCGTTCTATAGTGCAATTTTATTCAAGTAGACTATTGTTTTTCATGTGAGCGGGAATTTAGACTTTGTCATAACCAGTGCTTTGTAAGAACATTAATATTTTGGTTGGAAGTTAATCTCTGTAATTTTCCTTGTGTAAATCTTGTGAATTTAAGAGGGATCATTGATCAGCATGCTTAAATTCGTATCTTTTCTAGTGGTCCATTTGAACTGCCAAATTTCAAGCTCAGATGTTGAAAAACTCACTTATGATTTGGCATTTTTTCCTCCAGCATCTCTACTGATCACGTTTTAGCTCTGTACATTTTTCTATCCTTAATACGTCAGAAACCTAGATCTTCTTGGCCCTGCAAAATCAGCGCATCTTTCCCAATAGCCATCTTGTCCCTATTTTGTATTATAATAATACTCGTTATTGATAACTTTGTACTTAATCATGCATCCAGGAGTAGTATTATTGCCTGGTCAAGTTTTTTGATGCACTTTCTTTTGTGTCCTCTTCGATTTCAGGTTGTCAGGAACTGAGTGAAAGTATTCTTATCCTCACTTCAGAATTAATGCAAAAACTGTTCAAATGAAGGAGAATTAGCTTCTATTTTGGGGCTTTTTGCATCAGATTTCTCATGTGTGCTACGTTTTCTTTTGTGTTATGTTTCACATGACCTTTTTTGAACTTGCAAACATAATTTGTCGATCCGCATGAAAAAGGTATCGTTTTTTATACCTTGTCAAATAATCTGAAATGTTGGAAAGTGCTGTAATCTGTATCTCTTTGCCACTTTTTCTCTTGTAAATTTGTACATTTTTGTACATTTTTTTGTACGTAAATTTTGTAAATTATGTTTCTATCTCATTTTCAAGTCAATCTTTAAAATATTTTCCGACTCAGATTTTCTCTGTAGGAAAATATAATTCTTGGTCACTACAATCCTTTTAAGGCTTGGTTTCTTGCACAATATTTCCAAAAATATGTAGACACTTACATTTTTTGGTACTTCATTGAATTCCATTCTTTTTTTACTGCCATCTTAAACTGCATTTTACTAAAACAAAGTAAGAGGTGTTTACATCAGGTATATATACTTTTTTAAAACTGCCAAGTAAGCATGCATCACTACCATCAAAATCACCTTGTAACGCAATTATGTATTATTATTATTATCACTCATTTATTTGTAGTCTATGTTTTTAGATGCCTCAACTGATTCTGGCAAATTTATTACTTAAAATCTACTTACACAATACCTACTCTTGTGAAACTTAGATGATTTCATTAGGAAGAACTAAAGTTGCCTTAAGAAAAAGGTATATTTCCCCACTTTTGACTTACCTTTACAGGCACTTTATTAATGCTGAAACTTACCTTATCAAAGCTATTAATTTTCACTTTGTCTAAATTAAATATCTTTGTACTTTTATATGATGCAGATACACTGTACTGAATAAATTGTATTGTCCAAATCAAATAAGTCTTTTTAATCTTTTTCGAACTTTTTCTACCCAAAAAAGAATTAATAAAAAATTTGTCTCATAGGAGTGCGGAAACTTCTTGATCAGCAGATTGCATCTGCTAGCTTGCTAAAATGGGAAGATCACGAAAATGGGTTTTGAAAATGGGGTGCTACGAAGGGATCCTGAAAAGGGGAAAACCGGCTACCAACAACAGGAAAATGTCATGTTTTTTTTTTTTCAAAATTGCCGCAGTTTGCAGGGAAAGAGTGAAAAAAGGTCATAGGTGACTTAAATATGTTTTAAGGAAAAAACAGTTTTTAAAATGAAGAGACTCATTCAAACAATGGGAGGTCTAAGAAATTTTGGCATCCTTGCTGATATGTTATCCACACTGCAACATGCTTCTTGATTAACTTTTGCTACCACACATACATGAAGAGCAATAATCGTTTTTGTAAGTGTGAGTAGCAACAAAGTTGTCAATGACATTTGATGAAAGCTTTCAATAATATTTTTATATGAATTTTAATTTTTCTTTCATGAAATGAACTGAGTTTATCAGAATGGAACCAACCCACATTTTCGAAAAAATTGAGTTAAGAATGTTTTCGAGTTCCGCTATCCATATATTTCATCCTGCCAAAAACTGAAAGTCGAAAAAACAGAAATTGGTGAGGGAAAAGAGGGATTGAAGTTTATTTTCTACATTGAGCTTTATGGAAGAATAAAACTTCAAACCTCTTTTACTCAGTTTCAACTCAATGTGGGTTGGTTCCTTTCTGATGAACTCTGTCCAAATAGAACATGATCAGAGATTTTAAATTGTGGCAATATAGTTGCGGATTTTTTTATTTAATTTAGCTGTTGATGTGTAAAGTACCAAGGAGACTTCATTGACTTTTACTAAGTACATTAGCTTAAATACTACAAGTTTTGTAGGTTCAATGTATGAAGACTTGGCATTTTCCTCCTTCAACACAATGAGAGGTAAGATTTTTATTTTTCAAAAGTAAGTTCCTTATCATGAAAGTCTCCACATTCATTCACTTTCGATCAGTGGGTACCTCGGATTACATTATGCAACAAGGAACTTTTACCATCTCTTACTCATCCACAGATGCACCTATCTGCATACGGAAACTATATTGGCATGTAGGTTGTTTGTAAAGTGAGGCAGTAATTAGTTCACTAGTGCTAATTTAGTCCATTCATTTCTAATCACACAAACGACCTACGAAAAAAAAAAACAGGTTATGATAATGAACACTTACTCTCGGGCATCGTAAAATTGAATTTCCCGCTGTTTTGAGCCATTGAGGGGGTAGCAAAATTTCCGGTTCATTATCCCCCTTTCCGTTGGGGTTTCATTTTGCTGGTTCCCTGTTACGTTACCTTTCCTCATCCTCTTTGAAATGGAATGGGAGTTGAACCACTAGCGCACTCGCTCAGCTGATAAGCTGATAATATCGACTGGCTCATAAATTTTGTAAACAGTGTGTTTTAAGTTTTTTGTCTTTTTAAAAATCTCTGGTGGTTTTCAGATGTAAAACATAAAATTTGAGTGTTATTCTCCTCTGGCTTATTTGCAAAGATAAGCTCTCTCGGTATTACGAGAGCTTTTAGTTGTAAGCTGTGTCAACACCAGTCAAACCCAAGGTAAGTTTGGGGCTGTGGAAATCATCACTTCAAATATTTAGGTTGTAACGATTGTTTTTTTCTCAATTTTCCTAAATTACTCGTGTGATCTAGTTTTGATAGCCCTTTAAAATTGTCTCTCTAATACCTTAGTAGCACAGAGTAACACTATCAATTCTAAATCCAGGTGATATGCAATATATTTCTACAGTAATTCTTTTGTGGGGGTGTGAATGATCTGACCTTAATCATAACATTATTTGTTATAATTCCTCTACATCCTCTGCCTTTTGCTATTTCTCTCTCCAATTTCCTATGAAATGTTTTTGGGCAGAAAGGACAAAATAATGTCTCAACCCTGAATGTCTGACATCAGGGTGTTATCTGCACCCGTATTGGCAATAAGTTATCTGTACAAACATTCTTTTTTATTCTTCACAAGATAATCTGCAGGCATCGTAGAAGTAATCTTACATAATCATACTTTGTGCAAACTAACAATCACTGTCAGTTGTTTCTACAGAATAAGGGAATACTTCGTAGAAGAAAGGAGTAAAGAGGGGCTTATCTAATTGGTCTGTGGAAGTCTCATTGAAGATGAGCGCTTGTTCCTTCCTAACTTAAATTAATGTTGTGGTTTGTTTCAGTCCTGTTCTTGAAAATGGTAATGGAAGGCATAATTTCACTGACAAGCCTGAAGCCCTGGAGCAGCACAGTTCCATCCCAACAACATACTGCCTACTCTGCTAAACCCTTAGATACTAGTCCGTTTCCTCACAATCCAGACATCAATGATAGAATAATTTTTTGGTATGTTCTTATTTTATCTAGTAAAAAATTCTGATAATGGAAATCACACTGACCTTTTTGTAAAATATTTGAATTAAGGCTCTGGTATCTAGTTCGGTCCTTAAATTTCATGTGATGAAATTAATTCCTGAAAATCCAATTTTCTCAATTATCAGAAGTATTTAAAGCAAAGGAAAGTGTGGATCATCTAGCCTAAGCTTGCTAGTGTCAGATTTAGGGGGGAGGGGGTGACCCAGGGTTCCTATTTCAAAATAAGTTAATCTTCAATGTATTTTTTTACTTATTATGGTGAGAACTTTAAAAGGTTTGCCTATCTAAGTAGGTACCTATGAATAAAAAAATTTCTTTCAATTAATTTCAAAGTCGCATAGAAGAACCCAGGCTAAAATCTGGCAATAGGATACACGAAATCCACAAAATCTGTAAAGCGGTGGCCTCAAAATGCATCCTAAATTTAGGCAATTTCGCTCCCTCCTCCCTTGCCGTCCAAGGGGGGGGGGGTTCAAAAGGTAGGTATGAACTAGAAATGTTACAATCTTCCTCTGGAGGTAATTTAAGCAATTTTTGTTTCTTGAATCAAGTTCTACATGAAATTCTGAAGAGGAAACATGTATCAGAATGATTTAATTAGTACCTTGTGTAGTGATCCATTGCTGGGTAAGCAAGGCATCCTTGCTTTTACTCACCAACCTTTTAAAAAGCACCTTTCTTTTGTCAAATTTAAGTCAGAATTCGGTAGAGACCAATTACATATAATGAAGAAGGGGAAATAAATGTCTAATATAGGACTGTTATTGTTCCTCCTAACAGGGAAGGTGATATAACAACACTTCAGGTGGATGCAATTGTGCATTCAGCCTGTGAATCAATGACGGTGTGGTCGTCAATGAGCAACAGACTTCTTGGTAAAGCAGGATTTGGATTGCGTGAAGAATTAAATAATGCTGGTATGTTAAACAGACAATATTAATTTTTTATTTCAATCCCAAACATTTTCTATGTTAAGTGTTGTACTTAACATTTTCTTTCAATTTTTCTTAATGTTAGTTGATTTTTTTATTCACACGACTACTCTACGATAAATATAAAATTTCAAATTTACCGCTTCACAAAGTTCTGCTGTTGATTCCATTAAAACTTCTTAAAATTCATTGATTCTTTTTTTTCTTTCAGTGTGCCATCCTGGGGAGGTGATTCTAACATCAGGCCATAATCTTCCCGCAAGAGCCATAATTCATACTGTTGGTCCTACTTATAATATTCGTTATCAATCAGCCGCTCAAAGCACTCTACATTTGTGTTATAGGTGAGTGCATTAGTGTTTCCTTTACTGTGGAAGGAATTTGCTCGAATGAACTAGCAGTATGAAGAGTTTAGAGGATTTAGCATTTTGCACTGTGTTATGTCCTTGTGACTTAATATTCTACAGAAATTTCCATATTTCAGTGAGTTAACAGAGAAAGTAATATATTCATCAGAGAACCAAGACTACGAGAAATTTTCTTCTTCCTTAACACTTTGGCTGAGAGGTTGCCCCATATGGCCCGGCATTGTACTTTAAGATTTTAAGCATGCCGCCTCATGCGGGCTAAGTAGTGGTAAAAAAAATAATTAAAAAATTAGTTCTAAAAGTAGTAACTAATAATTAAAAGGGTGTGCTCTCCATCGTCCTGAGCGCAACTGATACGTACTCGGAACTTTTCACTGAAGCCATCTATGTAAATATCAGCCCTCACAAGCCGGTAAGAGATCGTCACTGAGGCAAGTAATTTCAAACTATGAGCCACACCAACCTGACTCATATATTTGTGTCCGCTCTACCCCTTTACCATGGTTGATTCTGTTTTCCGCTCCATGCGAAATCAAGCCTCTTTGGGAGAAGTGATGGTATGCAATCTCATGTCAGAACATTACAATTGCCTCTCAAGCTGCTCTGATTCTATACTCTAAAAACACTTGTGTTGTACTCTCCCATGGTCCCATAACCGTGAGGCAATGGATATCAAGAATTTCCTCACAGATGGATGCGTCAACATGAGCGAGAAGCATGGATAAGCAAGAAGTATTCGTTGATTTTTGGCTGCAATCAGCAACTGTATGAGGCCAGCTGGGACAGTACACTCTAACTTGATTATTCTCCATCACTGAAAGTTGCAATGCTGTCCGACAATATGCACTGCCATGAAATACAAATTGGGAACTGTAAATATGTGTCGCTCTCTACATACATTTAAGCTGCTTTCACAACGCTCACTGGCGCCCTGCGTCACCAAACTGCCATAGTCTCCTGTCCTCTTGCAGCCCTTATGGGCTACATTAGAATCCAAAAAACTGTGTATGCGCTAAGAAATAATCATTCTCATCAGCCACACCATGCAAAAATTACAGTGCAGCCAAAGTGTTAGACTGTAAAAGTACAAATAATCATGCCCTGAATGATTTTCGCACCTTTAATATTTCAGTTCAAGCATGTCTCTGAATGACCCTAATCCTGAGAGTCCATTTTATTTTCTATTTTTGTTTTCAGAAATGTTTTACAGAAAGCATATGATATGAATTTCTCTTCAATCGCTATTAGTCCCATAAATTCTGTTCGTTTAAATTTTCCTCCTGACGAAGGAGCCCACATAGCTTTACGTAAGTCTAAAAACTTTTGATTCATTTCTGCTAAATTTAAAAAAAAAACTTCACATTCGTATTACAGCATTTATAAGACCTGTAGCTTTTGTAACTGCATGGAGAGAAAATGAAACTGCTTGAAAAAGTTGAAGTCAGCATGTAATTTTTAGTGATTTCTATTTCTGAGGATATGTGCATAACTTTTGATCTTTCATCTATTTCTGTAATGAAACAACGTATATCGTAAGGAGGTTTTTTCTATTTATTTGTATTTCTTCAGTGTACCTCTGCATTGTGTAGTAAATTAGCAGTTTTTCGCTTTTCTAAATCTCTCATGGTGGATAGAATAGATCTTTTTAATGACCTTGAATAATTATATAGATTAGGTATGAAGATATTTGGCATCTAAGTTTAAAAAAGAAAAAATTGAATTGCTTGTATACAGCATATCGTTTGGAAAAATATGGAGAGGGGAAGAGAAAGGGACACTCTTTAAATAAAGAATCTCCATTTTTGCGTGAATGTTTCCTCTCTTTTCCAAGGACTTCTCCCTATTTTTGGAAGAAACTGTGCATTCTTATATCTATTTTCCGATCTCTATCATAAGAATATCTTAGATGAATCTATGAAAAACGGCTCAATTTCTATCTGAGAGAACAAGAATGTGTGATATAAAAGTTTGATAGTCGAAATATACCATACTGTAACTGAGGCGCTGGGTACAATGTCGCAGAGTCTTTGCTAATATTTCACTCATTACAAGGGAAATAAATGCAAACACTTCATTGAAATTTTTACTAAATATTCTTCATGATTGTACAAAAATATCAGAAAAATTACCCATCAGATTTTTTTTTAAGACTTAAATCGCAATCAAGATTCTGAAACACCACAACCAAGAAGTACCTCTCTCAAACCCAGTTCTACCAGTGCCCTCAAGTTACTCATACAGAATGTATGAATGTATGAATTAATACATTGAGTTTCAAGGAGGACTTTTATCAACAGTTTATTAAGTGAAAAGGGAATAGCAATCCTTAAAAACCAGTAACAGATATAATTTCTTTTTTCAGGAACCATCAGACGCTTTCTTGAGAGACAAGAAGAATGTGGACGAATAGTCCTTAAAACAGTAGTAATAGTTACTGAATCTGTTGATACTAATATTTACGAAGTCTTGCTCCCAATCTACTTTCCTCGGTCAGTAGAGGAAGAAATCTTAGCCCGGCTACAGTTGACTCCAGACGCTATCGGAGGACCAGCTGGCGAGCCCATTCATCCTGATCGGCAAATTCGCATCATAGACAATCCTCATCACCAACTCAGTAAGTTTCCACATCAACAATATTCCATTCTTCAGCATGCTCAATTTTCTTCTGAACATATTTCACTCATCTGTTCCAAGTAAATGCATGTAGGTAATTTCACGAAAGCAATTGAGAGTGCAATGACTCGTTGCGTTTCAATCATGGATTTAAAAAAAACATTCGTGAAGTCTCCCATTCAAATACACAACGCTGAAAGAGTAGAGTCAGCTTTGCCCATCGAAACGAGGTAAAGTACCCAGTATTCGCGCATACCGTATGAAGACTGTAAGTCAGCTTCAAATCATAATAACTGGAGGGAATTTCAATGCGTTGTTGTAATAATTTTGCATTGAAACTAAATTTTTACGCCAAAATAGGAATTCTTCAACAACTCAAAAATTTCAGTCTGGGTATTAGGGATCTTCAAGAAGGGATGAATTGTAATTCTACTTCTACCTACAGTAGACAGGTTGAGGGCCTCTCTTTGCTGCACAGTGGAAAGTGTGAAGCATGCGATTAGGTCATTGCGGCTGCATCTGATGCGTTGCCATTTACGGATTTTAATCTCGATTTTACAGGGTCAGGATTCGTGAAATGAACCGTAAAACTGATAATAAACGAGACGTATTTTGCAGCACACTGGTGTATTACAGAATGGTCTTATGTCGTTTGAATTTTGCATTTGTAATAGTTTTTAGTACTATCTTGAATTTTTATTTGCCTTTAACTTCTTGAGGGAATCTGTATGAATCAATTCTTCTAAGTTACTTTCGAATTCAAATTTAGGATGCTGAAAACAAAGTATGTTGTTTCAAGAAAGTATCAGGAAACTGGTGCGTCCTTTGTCAAAATTTTTGTCAGGCATGGGTGCCTTGAAGTTTAGGCAAAATACTGGGCGCCAATTCATTGATTTTGTTAATTTTCAATCTGTTGAAACGCCCATCCTACCGAAATCGAAATAAAAAAATGCTAAGTTCGGTTCAATGTTTACCTAACCAATATTTTAATAAAATGGGCTTTTTGAAGCAGTACACATATTACTGAGTGTCCCTTCAGAATTGCAGCAGGTCGCATCAGCTAATAGATCGGAATTTCCTTCGGGGGAACTTTCGTTTTGGATCAACACCGGTTGGTTGTCCATCATTTTTGATCGCAGAAATTCGCCTATTATACCCTCGAAAAAGCCGAACGTACTCCCGTTCTACTGCATACCGTGCTTTTCTCTACCCACGGATACCCATGAATTCCCGTAAGACAAGAGAAATCTGTCGTTGATTGTCGAAATCCGCGACCATCTGCAACTACTTGCAAAACAGCGGAAATGCTGGAAACAGCGCTATTACATGCGAGTCATCGTGAAACTGGAAAACAATGTCCAAACGCCTTAACCAATCAAAAACTTTTCTCCTTTTAAAAGTTACAATTCGTTCTCCAGGAAGTTCCGCATTTCGTCGTTTCTCTCACAAGAAGCCGTAACTATATTTCAAGGTTGCTAAATTCCCCCTCGCAAACAGGGCCGGATTAAGGGGGTGGCCCGGTGGCCACATGGGTCGCGGCCCGTGGCGGCAAATTTTGCGATTTTTTTAAGTGAAGGTATGAAGCAAATCAGATTCAGAAAAAAATACAAACGAGAAAAGGTGACAAAATCTCTCATTTCCTGAGAGTACTTACAAAAATTTCGCATTGCGCCAAACACAGTGCGTTCAACACCGCTCGACGTGAAACGCAAAGCGCCTTCAAGACTGTAGGAATACTTCACGCATTGCGTCAAAAACAGTGCGGTCAGCTTCAGCAGCGGTTGACGTGAAACGCATAGCGCCTACAAGACTGTAGGAATACTTCACGCATTGCGTCAAAAACAGTGCGGTCAGCTTCAGCAGCGGTCGACGTGAAACGCATAGCGCCTACAAGACTGCAGAAATACTTCACGCATTGCTTAAAACACAGTGCGGTCAGCGCGGCGCGGCGGCGGAAGTTAAAATTATTAAACCACATTTATGTTTGTTCTTTCATAATTTTTTCGTTCATTTCTTATGAATGGAGGGCCTTGTCCACACAGAGATAGGTTTATGGAACTGCCTACAAACATTCCATTTACCTACAGAACGCGCAGGAACCATTCATAACGTTCCGTTAGAAATTAATATCGTAAATAATCAGAATTGATCAACCGGAAATGTCGATGTTTATCAAGTTAATCGGACTTGCAGAAAGAAACCATCCAGTACCTAACAACAGAAAAATATTCAAATTTTTCTCGGAAGATTTGACAATGCCGGTTCGGAGTGTTGGTAAACTTCAAAGCCGCCAAGTAGAGATCATTGCAATAAAATTAATGTTCATCGCATGGGCGCATAAGTAGACAATCATTAGCATGCGTAAGAAACGGGTTTAGAAGCGGAGTCACACTTTTGAGAACGAACCTACACGCGCAAACGGAGGTCGTCGTGTCATAGTCGGGAACACAATAAAAGTATCTCAGCGTTGCATTACTTTACCCTATACATTTTACAATGTAAGACGGCATTAGCGTAAAAGTTGGATTTTTAGAAACTACTTCGTAAAAGAACGAGCGAATTTCTCTCTATGTCTGTCTCAGTTCGAAAAAAATCTATTTAGATCGTCCATCATTCAAATATACAATAATTAAAGACCAATACCGAAGTATTAGATCTCTTTCTGTGGTCAAAGTTAACCGCGACTTCGTCTAACGAAGGCCATAATTTTTAGGGGTCTTCGCGCCGTTGCTCTGAATACGCTTTTATACCGAGCAACTATTTGAACTCCCCGGTGATCAAATTGCATACCCGATGGAATGAAGGAACTTCTAGTGATTGCGATAGTTAGTAGCGTGGACTGCGTAACTGGCGTCGCTCTTAGTTCCTTCAATTTCGCAGGATGCAATTTGACCGTTAGAGACTCGAGAAAATCGCTCGAGGAGCATTAGAACTGGCTGTGGATCTTTGTAAATATCGAATTCTCACTTGCACGCGGTATTTTTCGCACCTCCAGTCACCTCGTGTCGATTCATGGCTCAATTTAATTCAACAAAGAAAAGAAAGCTAATGGAATCAAATTATGGAAACAATATTATCTTGTTATTCATGGAAAGCGTAATCTTAGCGTGGCCCTTGGAGGTATAGGAAACAGTTTCCTTCAAGCAGGGGATCCGTTTTGGCGCTGAACAATCCAGAGAAACCTCGATCTCCAGGCCGGACGCCGGACATCAGGACACATCCGCATCCCATGTATCCGCAGCACCTCTTACTTTTTCCTTTACCTATGCAGTGCGACGTGACAATCGTCCCGATCACCGAAGAGGAATAAATTATGGAGACCGTACTACACCGACCATACACTAGGTCCGCGTATCTCAGTAATTGAAAAGTTGCAATTGAGCTCCGTGATTTTGGAGTCAAGGCAACGTTTAATTCTATGGATTCTTTGCCATCTCAGAATCCTCTACCCACATGCTGTCTAGTATCTGGAAAAAGCAGGAATTACTCAGAATTAGTAAAATTTTCACCAGGGAAACAGTTTCTCAGGAAAAATCGGGAAATTCAAGTATCTAGGAATGGGTCTAAAAAACCATTAATATCCTCTCTCTTCACCTCGAAACCATATCGCTCCAACATTTGGTGGTCCATGTTGACTCGGCGCCGCAGAATTATTTGTTGTTTTTCTGACGCTTATTGCTTTTACACATACATACAAGTCGCTTTACAGCACTCCCTCGCGCTCTACGACTCCTAACCTCCACTGCTCTCTTTCAAACCACAAATCTTGGGGGATTGAGCACCTCAACATTTCTGCTTCAATCCCGTCCCTCCAACCTTTCATTGGGCGCCCTCTGCGTCTTCTCCCAGGAGGAACCCAGTCAAGGACCTTCTTCGGCAACCTGTCTCCTGCCATTCTCTGGACATGACCATACCAGATGAGTTGTTTTGTCATAATGTCATGCACGATGGTCTGCTTGGCATCTATGATATCCCGTACCGTCTCATTCCTGACGCGATCCTTTCTGGAAATACCAGCGGATCTACGCCAGAAGTCCATCTCTGTTGCCTCTAAAACCTCCCGGGTCCGCTGTTTCATCGGCCATACTTCACACCCGTAGGTTACTATGCTCTTGACAATCGCGTTGTAAATCCTCCTTTTGTTCTCTTTGGAGATCCTTTGGTCCCAAAGGACTCCATTTAACATAGCGATTGCCCTCCTACCCAGCATATTCCTCTTCTTGATGGCCTGGTCCAATCTTCCATCCTGGGTTAAAAACACTCCTAAATATTTGTAAATATCGCAGCTCCCAATTTGCCGCCCATCCTCTAATTCTATACTTTGCTGATTCCCGCCAACGGTCAACTTCTCGGTTTTGCTGACATTCACCTCGAGGCCCCATTTCCGATACTCAGCCACCAACTTTCGAGTCATGTACTCAGCATCATCTTGATCTTGGGCGATAAGTACTTGGTCATCAGCAAAGCATAACGTGTAAAGAGTTTCTTCATTATTTAGAGGGACACCCATTCCGGAACATTTTTTCTTCCATTCACGCAGTACATGTTCTAAGTATATTTTAAACAAGGTGGGGGAGAGGCAACACCATTGCTTTAGTCCCTTTGTTACATAAAAACCCCCCGACAAGCCCCCTTTACATTTAATTCTTGCGAAAGTCCCTTGATAAAAAAGCTTAATTGCATTAATTAGTCCACGAGTAAAATCAGATTTTTCCAAGGCCTCCCAGAGTTTCACTAAAGGCACGCTATCATAGGCTTTTCGCAAATCCACGAACACCAAATGCAATTCTTGACCAACCGCCATCTTCTTCTCAATAACCTGGGTGATGCAAAATAGATGGTCGACGGTTGATCTGCCAGCCCTGAAACCCGCTTGCTCTTCTGCCTCATGATGAATCCATTCTTCTTCGATTTTAGCTTTCAATATCTTACCATAAATTTTGCTGATCGTCCCGGTCACCGACAATCCACGATAATTATCGAGATCGTCCTTTTTCCCTT